TTAAACAGTACAGCTTGTTTGGTAAACATCAAGCGGTGTTGACTGATGTGAGTGTCACCTCACGACTCCTCCTGTGTTCAACATACTATGTTCCTCAAAACACATTACGCTAGAACAAATTTTAGTCTCAGAACTAAAGTTATCTTATCTAAAAATATATATCTACAAAATATAAAAAAGTCCAAATGGAGCCCATAACAAGGCTTAATTTCAGAACTTGCTGAGGCAAACTAGACTTCCCAAATCATTGACACTGACATTGAATCTCCTTCCTTATTTCATTCTCTAGGAATGGGTGACAGACTGACAGTGTCCATCATCACAGTTGTGTTTGAATGGTTCTACCGCAGCCTACATTAATGGCCACAATTCACGGTTTGGCATGCCCTTTCATATTTAGTACTTGACATAATGTCATCAAATATATCAATAAAAAGTAATACCATATTTATTAATATATTTTAAACTTACTATCGTCCAGGTGATATGAAACAAGAAATAATGAGCATCACCCTGCAACCTGGATAGTTGTGTGGACCACCCACAGAGTGAGTTGTTCATCTTCTGATCAGGGAGACCTTTACAAAGTTTCACTTGATTTCCTTCCATTACATAAATAAATTGGATTGACAAGACATAAATTATGGTACCTTTAATATGACCTTGACCTTTGACATGCTACAGTTGTTCACTGGTTATAAATAGAACACTGTCAAACAACCAAACTGCATTCAACAAACCTCTCATAGAGACCAAGAGCAAGTACTCAAACAGCCTTGACTTTATACAAGTCACTCAAAACCTATCATAATCTTGCACAAGTCTCTAAGGAAATAATTACCAGCTTAAATCATAATTTTTAGATTATGTAAATAATATTTGTTTGTTTGTCTGTTGTTTTAATGCCCCACTCAGCAATATTCCAGCTATATGACAGCAGTCTGTAAATAATCCAGTCTGGACCAGACAATACAGTGATTGATATCATAAGCATCATTCCACGCAATTTGGATACAATGACATGCATCAACCAAGTCAGCGAGCTTTACCACACGATCCCGTTAGTTGCTACTTAAGACCTGCATAGTCGCCTTTTATGGCAAGCATGGGTTGTTTCATGGGTTATGTGAATAATAAGAACAAGTTGTCCCTATAAAAGTCCTTAGAGCACACATCAAGACTTGCCTATTAGGTGGATAGAATTACTACACATCCATGGACTTTTATTTCAGTAGAGCCCTGGAGCAAGGCTAAATCTGTGAGTTCGACATCAGATATAACAAACAGCACTTGCCATCATATCCAACCATTGACACCCTTTTCATAATTACAACTGAAGCACCTTTCTTGCATATAACATCAGACGCTCACCTTGACATTACATATAGGGCTGGGACGAGTCCAAATGTACTAACCGGGTACCCAGCCCCCTATTACCCGACCCTACCCAAGTACCCGCTGTGGGTCTCAAGATATAGGTAAAACATGTCCAATTCGGAAAAGTTTGACCGTACTCCTGTCAAAATAAATTTAGATACACGTATAAACCGATCTGGTCATGCATACACTGACGTTGACTGATGTTTTATCATTATGCAAACATATAGAGTGAGAAGGAATGTGTGCGAAGTCAGAAGGAAATGTGCACATTTATCACTTATAGTGTAACCATAGAGTTCTAGATAATTTTTGCCATTGGACAATATAATCAGGTGACCAACCACGGGTCCGGGTAGTCCTGTGGGTACCCAGGTCCTACTCAGTACCCTTTCGAGCCGGGTACCCGAGTTACCCATCCCAGCCCAAATTACATATCATCAAGATCACATATAACGCCAACCAGAGACCATGTACCAAATCTCTGAAGCAACCTATCACACAACACAAACACTTTAACCATGAAATGGAGTAATTCCAAGAGATACCTTGCAATCACATCATTTCACAGACACACCTTCGTCACATCGTGAAGCACGGTTCCCCAACTACAGGCACTAGGGACGGCCAAAGTGTCGGACTTCTTGAGACCTGACTAATGGCGCTCTTTTACAGTCTGATTGTATTCTGATTAGTTTGGGCATATGCTGTCTGGTCATGATAATACTTTCCATGCCACTGGTTACACTGACAGATGGCTGGGATCTTCATAAGCCTCTCAATACAGTGCTTGTTACCCGATTCAATTGCTGTCTGGACCAGGCGTGCAGTCACTATTCTCCATCCTCCCACATAATGATTAAACTGTATCAACAATCTTCTCATATGGAGCAACTCCACAAGCAAGAGCGAGGAATATAAGGCACCGACTAATTAAATTTTTTGAGGGCTTGGATTTTTAAAAAATTTGTTTTTGAAATACAGCGGAAAAATTGTCCTTGTGTACAAAATATTATGCTGGATGTCCTGAAAAAATGTGTTGTGAAAAAAACAATATGGTTCAGCTCCTTTCTGGGAAAAGAATTGTAGGTCTGGAAGTAGAGACTAAAACATATTCTGTAGATAAAAATCTGAGGTGTACTCCACAATATATGGCCAGCATTTAAGTTATATTGGCTAAACAACTACTTCAGAATAATAAATAACAAATAAAAAAATATGAAAAAAAAAGCCTTGCTCAGAATATTTATATTTGGAGAGCAAAAGACATAAAGATGAAGACGCAACCATTATCAACAGGTGTTCTACATCTAGATACTTCTTTCACCACTCAAAATTAATATTAAGAGAAAACATATGCCTTACAACTAAATACCTTGGGTCGTCCTGACAATGTTGTGACATGTATGAGATCAGATGTGTATATGATAAATATATTTCTCAGAAAATAGGGGTTTAAATGTATCTGTAAGATGTGTGTCAGACATCTGTGTCATGTGTGAGGTGTGTTTACCTGTGGAAGATGTGTATTTCTGTGGGTTTTTGTGACTGTGTGTATGTTCCTGTGTGGCATGGGTATTGGATGTGTGTGTGTGTGTGTGTGCGTGCGTGCGTGCGTGCGTGCGTGTGTGTGTGTGTGTGTGTGTGTTCTGCATGTGAAATGGGTGTTTCTGTTAGTTCATAGGAATTACCATTGACAAGACAGGTTTATCATTGATATGGTAATCTTTGTGAGTGTTTCCAAGTTCTAATAAATATTGGTATATCTTTATTGCGTCTGTTTAGTTAGTTTAGTATACAGTTTAGCATATAGTTTAGTATACAGTTTAGTTAGGTCAATTATACTCCCATAAACCCAGGTGATCTTTGAACAGAAGATGTGCTACCATCCCATACAGCATCAGTTTCTTCAGGGGCGGTCAGGTAGCCGAAGACCCGGTGTAAAGTCTGAAAGTATACCCGGGTAGATTCTGGGATATGAATGTTTTAAAACTAATTAGATGTGTACTGAATAGGCATTTATGTAAACTTAATCAGATGACAATGTTGCTACAGCAATTGACCAGGAGAGATCAAGCCTGAGTTAGATGCCTCCCCCAAAAGAAAACTTCAAGTACATTCATGAAATAAAAATGCTTAAATCAAACAGGGCTGCAGTAGATTCTTGGAGCTCCTAGATTATAGCTATAACCCGGGGTAGATTCTGGGAGGAGCTCCCAGATTATACCCCGGGGTAGATTCTGGGAAAGGGGGATAGATTCTGGGAAGTCCCCAAAATCTACCCCGGGGTAGATTCTGGGAGCTCCCAGAATCTACCCGGGTATATTCTGAAGGGGGGTAGATTTTGGCACCTTACACCGGGTTCGATTCCCGACATGGGTACAATGTGTGAATCCCATTTCTGGTGTCCCCCGCCGTGATATTGCTGGAATATTGCTAAAAGCAGCGTAAAACCATACTCACTCACACTCAGTTTCTTGATGATTTTCACAGTCTCAGTAGGGTGGCGTGAGTGAGTGAGTGAGTGAGTGCAAGTTGTTCAGCACCACAATAAGTAATGGTCCATCTATATCACACCAGGCTGTGAATAATGCTGCATGATGACATGCATTGAGCCAATCCACAAACCTGACCATCCATTTCAGATCAGTTACTTCTTACAACCAGCAATGTGATTTTGATCATGTATTCTAATGCCCCACAGTTTCTACGAATATCTATGATTTCTTTTGTTTGTTTGTTTGTTGTTCAAAGCCGCACTCACCAATATTCCAGCTATATGATGGCAGTCTGTTGATGATCGAGTCTGGACAAGACAATCCAGTGATTGATATCATGAGCATCGATCCACACAATTGGGATACGATGACATATATTAACCAAGTCAGCATGCCTATTATTCGCCTCTTACGACAAGTATAGTCGCCTTTCACGGCTACCATGGGTTGCTGAAGACCTATTCTACCCCGGATCATCACAGGTCTTATGATTCCTATGTCTACTGAGATAATTCAATGATTAAAAAATAACAACTAAAAACCGTATGGTAGAAGCTGCTTGTGCACTTTGTGAGCCAAGATTAAATTGTTTGCCAAGTCTGAATAAGGTGGAAACTGTTCTCAGCCAGAAAGATGCACTTTGCCTCCAGCAGTGACGTTCTGGGAGGAATGTTGTCATTACTGAAGGCCAATCAGGCCACCGACACCACACACCATTGTGAGCCAAAGTTGTCGCCCAGCAGTGTTATTTCTCAGACCTTTCATAAGATCTAGTGGAATCAGATAGAATCAAGATATTACATAAAATCAATTGCCCCTCCTTGACTGTATGCCCATGGCAAGGACCAGACAATTAAACAGTATACAGTACAAGTCAGGGTGACCCTCCTGGCGCTAATCAGGAACATGTCTCCCAACATCTGCAGACTCGATGTTTTCTTACCAATAAAACATCGTTTCTTGATTTCAGACTTTTTGGTCTCATTGTAGTTACAGATTTCATCACCTTCTCCATAATCACTTTCTATATATACACCCTGACCAAGCTTATCTCTCACAGGGTTGGCTTCTCTTTTCTCAAAAATAGAGGTGTTGTGTATAGCCAGGATCCTCTGTGATGAGTTGTCATGTACAGTCAGGTTCCTCTGTGATGAGTTGTTGTGTATAGCAAGGGTCCACAGTGTTTAGCTGTTGTGTACAGTCAGGGTCCTCTATGGTGAGCTGTTGTGTATAGCAAGGGTCCTCTGTGATGAGTTGTTGTGTACAGCCAGGGTCCTCTGTAATGAGTTGTTGTGTACAGTCAGGGTCCTCTGTGATGATCTGTTGTGTACAGCCAGTGTCCTCTGTGATGAGTTGTTGTGTACCACCAGGGTCCTCTGTGGTGAATTGTTGTGTATAGCAAGGGTCCTCTGTGGTGAGCTGTTGTGTACAGGCAGGGCCCTCTGTGATGAGCTGTTGTGTACAGCCAGTGTCCTCTGTGATGAGTTGTTGTGTACCACCAGGGTCCTCTGTGGTGAATTGTTGTGTATAGCAAGGGTCCTCTGTGGTGAGCTGTTGTGTACAGCCAGGGCCCTCTGTGATGAGCTGTTGTGTACAGGCAGGGCCCTCTGTGATGAGCTGTTGTGTACAGTCAGGGTCCTCTGTGATGGGCTGTTGTGTACAGTCAGGGTCCTCTGTGATGAGTTGTTCTGTACAGTCAGGATCCTCTGTGGTGAGCTGTTGTGTACAGTCAGGGTCCTCTGTGATGAGTTGTTGTGTACAGTCAGGGTCCTCTGTGATGAGCTGTTGTGTACAGTCAGGATCCTCTGTGATGGGCTGTTGTGTACAGTCAGGGTCCTCTGTGATAAGCTGTTGTGTACCACCAGGGTCCTCTATGGTGAGCTGTTGTGTACAGCCAGGGTACTCTATGGTGAGCTGTTGTGTACAGCCAGTGTCCTCTGTAATGAGCTGTTGTGTACAGCCAGGGTCCTCTGTGATGAGTTCTTGTGTACAGTCAGGGTCCTCTGTGATAAGCTGTTGTGTACAGTCAGGGTCCTCTGTGATAAGCTGTTGTGTACAGCCAGGGTCCTCTGTGATGAGTTGTTGTGTACCACCAGGGTCCTCTGTGGTGAGTTGTTGTGTACATCCAGGGCCCTGTGTGATGAGTTGTTGTGTATAGCCAGGGTCCTCTGTGGTGAGCTGTTGTGTATAGCTGTGGTCCTCTTTGATGAGCTGTTGTGTACAGTCAGGATCCTCTGTGGTGAGCTGTTGTGTACAGCCAGGGTCTTGTGTGATGAGTTGTTGTGTACAGCCAGGGTCTTGTGTGATGAGTTGTTGTGTACAGCCAGTGTCCTCTGTGATGAGCTGTTGTGTACAGCCAGGGCCCTCTGTGATGAGTTGTTGTGTACAGCCAGGATCCTCTGTGGTGAGCTGTTGTGTACAGCCAGGGCCCTCTGTGATGAGTTGTTGTGTACAGCCAGGATCCTCTGTGGTGAGCTGTTGTGTACAGCCAGGGCCCTGTGTGATGAGTTGTTGTGTACAGCCAGTGTCCTCTGTGATGAGCTGTTGTGTACAGCCAGGGCCCTCTGTGATGAGTTGTTGTGTACAGCCAGGATCCTCTGTGGTGAGCTGTTGTGTACAGCCAGGGTCCTCTGTGATGAGCTGTTGTGTACAGCCAGGGCCCTCTGTGATGAGCTGTTGTGTACAGCCAGGGCCCTCTGTGATGAGTTGTTGTGTACAGCCAGGATCCTCTGTGGTGAGTTGTTGTGTACAGCCAGGGCCCTGTGTGATGAGTTGTTGTGTACAGCCAGGATCCTCTGTGGTGAGTTGTTGTGTACAGCCAGGGCCCTCTGTGATGAGTTGTTGTGTACAGCCAGGATCCTCTGTGGTGAGTTGTTGTGTACAGCCAGGGCCCTCTGTGATGAGTTGTTGTGTACAGTCAGGATCCTCTGTGGTGAGCTGTTCTGTACAGTCAGGGTCCTCTGTGATGAGTTGTTCTGTACAGTCAGGATCCTCTGTGATGGGCTGTTGTGTACAGTCAGGGTCCTCTGTGATGAGTTGTTGTGTACAGCCAGGGTCCTCTGTGATGAGTTGTTCTGTACAGTCAGGATCCTCTGTGGTGAGTTGTTGTGTACAGTCAGGGTCCTCTGTGATGAGTTGTTGTGTACAGCCAGGGTCCTCTGTGATGAGTTGTTCTGTACAGTCAGGATCCTCTGTGGTGAGTTGTTGTGTACAGTCAGGGTCCTCTGTGATGAGTTGTTCTGTACAGTCAGGGTCCTCTGTGATGAGTTGTTCTGTACAGTCAGGATCCTCTGTGATGAGTTGTTCTGTACAGTCAGGGTCCTCTGTGATAAGCTGTTGTGTACAGTCAGGGTCCTCTGTGATGAGTTGTTCTGTACAGTCAGGGTCCTCTGTGATGAGTTGTTCTGTACAGTCAGGGTCCTCTGTGATAAGCTGTTGTGTACAGTCAGGGTCCTCTGTGATAAGCTGTTCTGTACAGCCAGGGTCCTCTGTGATAAGCTGTTCTGTACAGCCAGGGTCCTCTGTGATGAGTTGTTGTGTACAGCCAGGGTCCTCTGTGATAAGCTGTTCTGTACAGCCAGGGTCCTCTGTGATGAGTTGTTCTGTACAGTCAGGGTCCTCTGTGATAAGCTGTTGTGTACAGTCAGGGTCCTCTGTGATAAGCTGTTCTGTACAGCCAGGGTCCTCTGTGATGAGTTGTTGTGTACAGTCAGGGTCTTCTGTGATAAGCTGTTGTGTACAGTCAGGGTGCTCTGTGATAAGCTGTTCTGTACAGCCAGTGTCCTCTGTAATGAGCTGTTGTGTACAGCCAGGGTCCTCTGTGATGAGTTGTTGTGTACAGCCAGTGTCCTCAGTGATGAGCTGTTGTGTACAGCCAGGGCCCTCTGTGATGAACTGTTGTGTACAGTCAGGATCCTCTGTGGTGAGTTGTTGTGTATAGCAAGGGTCCTCTGTGATGAGTTGTTGTGTACAACCAGGGTCCTCTGTGGTGAGTTGTTGTGTACATCCAGGGTCCTCTGTGGTGAGTTGTTGTGTACATCCAGGGTCCTCTGTGATGAGATGTTGTGTACAGCCAGGGTCCTCTGTGATGGGCTGTAGTGTACAAGCTGCGTCTTAGAACTGGGTGCAAAAAGTTGCGAGATTTTTTACAGGTCATTCTAATATGGGAGGAAAGCCTGTAAGAGTGTTTGTGTTAAAGGTTTACCTCTTTGGTGAAAGCCACGAGAATGGGGATCATAGTCAGTGTGAATCTGTAATTTGAACTCATAAACTCAGGATCCTGATATACTTTGGGGACACAACTCTGCACAGCATTATGTGGCACTGGGCCGTCCATGCCTCTGTTGTTGAATAAACTAGTTCTGCCACTGTTTGTTCATTTGAGTAAGTATTTTAGTTATCTACCACAACAAGAACACATCATGTTATTCTGGAGCTGGAACAAGGCGGGACATCAGACAGCTTGTTATCATTGAAGGTTTTTTCTGTTAAAAACTTCCACTAACCCAGATTTTTTCTCTGAGATGCACTGAAATGAAACACATGTCGTGATTGTTTCCCACCCCACCCTCTCTGGGTGAATGTCAGCCCTGCACAGGTTATCTGGCAGGTGTGGGTCTGCACATACCGGCCCGGCCAGACCATGCAGATCCACACACACACACACACAAACACACACACACACCAAGGTCACACATGTGCTGGGTGCAATGCAGAGACGATCAAACACTAATGTGAACAGTATGTGGTCAGGATTGCTCTGGAAACCCACAGCTTTTTTCCATGATGAAAATTTTGAATTAATCTGTTTTTAAGTTAGCTGTAAATGCAATTTATTTTCCTGTCAGAATGTTGAAAAATTATCAAATTAATGTGTCTGTAATCGAAACAATTTCACTGGGCACCAAGGCATTGTATTGTTTAGGCCAGTATAAAACTATTTTAAAGACTAGTGTGCTGGGCCCTGTTCCACAAAGCGATCATAGCGCTAAGATGATCGTAACTCCCATACTTTAACATAGACTTACGACAGACTTAGCGCTAAGATCGCTTTGTGGAACGGGGCCCTGGTGTATAAAGGTGTCTTGGTGCAGTTGCGTTGTGAATGCAGGTGTCTTGATGTAGTCATGTTTTGTGAGTTGAGCATAAAGGTGTCTTGTTGTTTTATGTGAGCTGTGTATGCAAGTTTCTCAATGTAGCCATGTTGTGTGAGTTGTGTATGCAGGTGTTTCAATGTAGCCATGTTGTGTGAGTTGTGTATGCAGGTGTCTAGATGTGGTGTTGAGTGAGTTGTGAATGCAGGTGTCTTAATACAGCCGTCGTGTGAGTTGTTGTATATTGGTGTATGTTGTATGTCATATGCTGGTGTGGGTTAGTGTGTGTTATGTGTGCGTGTGTTGTGAGTGAGTGAGTGAGTGTGTGTGTGTGTCTTAATCTGTGTGTGAGTGTGTGTGTGCCTGCGCGTATGCATGAGTGCCTTTATCTGTGAGTGTGTGTGTGCGTTCGCTAATGCGTGAGTGTCTTCATCTGAGTGAGTGAGTGAGTGTGTGTGTGTGCATGCGTGCGTGAGTGTGTCTGAGTGAATACGCGCATGCGTGAGTGTCTTCATCCGTGTGTGTGTGCGTGCGTGTGAGTGTCTTCATCTGTGAGTGAGTGAGTGAGTGTGTGTGTGCGTGCATGTGTGTGTGTGAGTGTGAGTGAGTGCGCTCATGCGTGAGTGTCTCCATCTGTGTGTGAGTGTGGATTATAGGATTGTGGCCATGTGGAGATTATAAAACCTGAGCTCCTTTACCCACCCAGCAGTAAAAGGCAATAAAACACAAACATAAGTAACTTCAGCCTTCACATTTACACACTTGGTGGAAGAAATCAATGGCTCCCCTCCCTATGAAAGACCTGTTCTTCCACAGCACTTCTCATCTCATTGATAGTTTTCTTTATTGTTGGCCTGTTGGTGAACCCCTGAGCCTAGAGATGAACCAGCACAGATACACTGACAAGAAGCGGTGCTTGTCCCACTGATCGGCCAATCAATAACCAGCACATCAATGCAGGACGTTACTTTAGAGATCACTTGACTTACTGCAGCAAATCAGCCAAACTAACACAACAATTTAGGAAGCGTTTTTAATAATGAGGCTTATACTTCTAACAAAATCAATATGAGATTCTACATGGGGAAGAGGAGAGGCTTGTATGCAGCAGCCACTCCTGGTGAATAAACGGACATGTATGGAACTGTGGGTAAGGAACATGAATAATTGAAGAAATACTGACAAACTACATGGCTATGTCCTGCAGATAGATAAAAGTGTTGAGCTAGACTAGCCTACTAGCCTTGCATTGAGCAAGGCAAGATTTATTGCCAAACTTTGACTACACAAACATCTTCTGCAAAACTCTGGAACATGTATCACCACTCACAATTTAACATCCTGGTCTATCCTGCCTTAACCCTATGTACATAAATGTAACTCTGAAATGGCACCAGACAGGCTAGAGAGGGCTATATCCCATGTTGTAAACTGGCACCAGACTAGAGAGGGTTATATCCCGTGTTGTAAACAGGCACCAGACCAGAGAGGGCTATATCCCATGTTGTATACTGGCACCAGACTAGAGAAGGCTATATCCCGTTTTGTATACTGGCACCAGACTAGAGAGAGGTATATACCATGTTGAATACTGGCACCAGACTAGAGAGAGGTATATACCATGTTGAATACTGGCACCAGACTAGAGAGAGGTATATCCCAAGTTGTATACTGGCACCAGACTAGAGAGAGGTATATCCCATGTTGGAAACTGGCACCAGACTAGAGAGAGGTATATCACATGTTGGAAACTGGCACCAGACTAGAGAGAGGTATATCCCATGTTGTATACTGGCACCAGACTAGAGAGGGCTATATCCTGTTTTGTATACTGGCACCAGACTAGAGAGGGCTATATCACATTTTGTATACTGGCACCAGACTAGAGAGGGCTTTATCCCATGTTGTATACTGGCACCAGACTAGAGAGAGGTATATCCCATGTTGTATACTGGCACCAGACTAGAGAGAGGTCTATCCAATGTTGGAAACTGGCACCAGACTAGAGAGAGGTATATCCCATGTTGTATACTGGCACCAGACTAGAGAGAGGTATATCCCATGTTGTAAACTGGCACCAGACTAGAGAGAGGTATATCCCATGTTGTATACTGGCACCAGACTAGAGAGAGGTATATCCCATGTTGTAAACTGGCACCAGCCCAAAGAGAGGTATATCCCATGTTGTATACTGGCACCAGACTAGAGAGAGGTATATTCCATGTTGTATACTGGCACAAGACTAGAGAGGGCTATATCCCATGTTGTAAGTATACTGGCACCAGACTAGAGAGGGCTATATCCTGTGTTGTATGTATACTGGCACAAGACTAGAGAGGGCTATATCCCATGCTGTATGTATACTAGCACAAGACTAGAGAGGGCTATATCCCATGTTGTATGTATACTGGCACCAGACTAGAGAGGGCTATATCCCATGCTGTATGTATACTGGCACCAGACTAGAGAGAGGTATATCCAATGTTGGAAACTGGCACCAGACTAGAGAGAGGTATATCCCATGTTGTATACTGGCACCAGACTAGAGAGAGGTATATCCCATGTTGTAAACTGGCACCAGCCCAAAGAGAGGTATATCCCATGTTGTATACTGGCACCAGACTAGAGAGAGGTATATCCCATGTTGTAAACTGGCACCAGCCCAAAGAGAGGTATATCCCATGTTGTATACTGGCACCAGACTAGAGAGAGGTATATTCAATGTAGTATACTGGCACCAGACTAGAGAGGGCTATATCCCATGTTGTAAATATACTGGCACCAGACTAGAGAGGGCTAGATCCTATGCTGTATGTATACTGGCACCAGACAAGAGAGGGCTTTATCCCATGTTGTATGTATACTGGCACCAGACTAGAGAGGGCTTTATCCCATGCTGTATGTATACTGGCACCAGACTAGAGAGGGCTTTATCCCATGTTGTATGTATACGGGCACCAGACTAGAGAGGGCTATATCCCATGCTGTATGTATACTGGCACTAGACTAGAGAGGGCTATATCCCATGCTGTATGTATACTGGCTCAAGACTAGAGAGGGCTATATCCCATGCTGTATGTATACTGGCACCAGACTAGAGAGGGCTATATCCCATGCTGTATGTATACTGGCACCTGACTAGAGAGGGCTATATCCCATGCTGTATGTATACTGGCACCTGACTAGAGAGGGCTATATCCCATGCTGTATGTATACTGGCTCAAGACTAGAGAGGGCTATATCCCATGCTGTATGTATACTGGCACCAGACTAGAGAGGGCTATATCCCATGCTGTATGTATACTGGCTCAAGACTAGAGAGGGCTATATCCCATGTTGTATGTATACTGGCACCAGACTAGAGAGGGCTATATCCCATGCTGTATGTATACTGGCTCAAGACTAGAGAGGGCTATATCCCATGCTGTATGTATACTGGCTCAAGACTAGAGAGGGCTATATCCCATGCTGTATGTATACTGGCTCAAGACTAGAGAGGGCTATATCCCATGCTGTATGTATACTGGCACCAGACTAGAGAGGGCTATATCCCATGCTGTATGTATACTGGCTCAAGACTAGAAAGGGCTATATACCATGCTGTATGTATACGGGCACCAGACAGACAAGAGAGGGCTATATCACATATTGTATACTGGCACCAGACTAGAGAGGGCTATATCCCATGCTATATGTATACTGGCACCAGACAGACTAGAGAGGGCTATATCCCATGCTGTATGTTTACTGGCACCAGACTAGAGAGGGCTATATCCTATGTTGTATGTATACTGGCACCAGACTAGAGAGGGCTATATCCCATGCTGTATGTATACTGGCACCAGACTAGAGAGGGCTATATCCCATGCTGTATGTATACTGGCTCACGACTAGAAAGGGCTAGGTCCCATGTTGTATGTATACTGGCACCAGACTAGAGAGGGCTATATCCCATGTTGTATGTATACGGGCACCAGACTAGAGAGGGCTATATCCCATGCTGTATGTATACTGGCACCACACATGCAGTGTAGCAGGCTTGCGGTCTCTACTGCCAGCAGTGCTGCTGTGTTTACCATTCATAATGGGCCAGTCATGTGATCCACACATCTAATTTGGGACCAATCTGAGATGTAAGTGGCACCAGGCAGGCCTGGAGTAATCATGACCGCAGTGTGGAGTGTAAAGAACATTACAGATATCAGTGCCTCTTGGATCTAAAGGAGATTTATCTTGGCTTTATATCGGACAACTTCCGCACATTTCACAGCCTTGGAAGGCAGGACCTGTCCTCTCAACTTGAGGCTCAACTTTACATGGAAGCGTGTGTGGGCATGACACTGTAACCAAGGCAACTCACACAACTGGAGTAAGTATTCCTTCTCAGTCCTATAACATATTCATGTTTGTTTTAATTGAAATCTTAAACTCTTGTAAAACTTGAAGAAGTTTATGTTCAACTTCTTCACCATCCCTCCTGAACAATATCTAATATAAAATGTTAAGGGTGAATATAGGGGGATATTACCCACCCAGAATATACCACACATAAGCCATATAGTTCGTCATCAGCTACTGACCCCCTCTTCATCACAGTCCTGTGAAATGGCTACATGCTGGATACACAACATTACTGTAAATCAACTAGCTCCGATATGGATTTTCCAAGTTGAGTTTTGCTCAGCATGATGAGATCTAGAGATGGAGCACAACTCACTGTGAGCACTTCTTACCAACAGCACCATAGGAAGATGTTCCTGGTGTATTGATCTCACAGTGATGGAGAACCGTATCACCTCAGTAAGTTAACATCCTTTCAATCTGGGTACTGCAGTTGCCAGTGTGCACGGGGGATGGATGCTTCACACATCCAGGCTACAGAGATGATCATTATAGCATTTATAAAATATCTGAGGCATCACTTCCAACAATATATCAACCGATATCCTATAAAGGTTTAAGAAATATGTCCATATCTTTCAGCACAAGGAGATTAGTATATCTATTACTCCCAGACATCTATCAGTGTATATACATTACTCCTATGGATCTATCACTATCAGTATATATATATATATATTTTACTCCTATGCATCTATCAGTATATATATATATATATATATATATATATATATATATATATATAAATCTCCTATGGATCTATCACTATAAATATATAGATAAATATATATATTACTACTATGCATCTATCAGTATATATATTACTCCTATGCATTTATCAGTATATATATATACTCCTATATATATTACTCCTATTCATCTATCAGTATCCCCTTGTCATGGGTTTTTAGAAGAATAAGAAAACATTTGTAAATTTCTCATTAATTGCAAGAACAACTGTAAAATCGCAAGAACAGTAAAACATCTCACTCACTTATTGAAGACAACTTTATCTCAAAATCAAGCCATCATCTGAGTATTTACAATGTCTGTGTGACGCCACACTCCTTGTTATAGCGTGAGTAATCGCAATAACCATTGTCGTCCAAAAACGTATGATGTCCGAAAACCTATGATCTAATGATATATACAGTAAACTACATTTATAACGAACACTGTAAAACAAACTGACCGATATAACAAACTTATTTTTTAGTCCCGACCATTTGTTGTATATATGCTGCATATATGCTTATAAAGAAATATGGTTATTACTGATTAAAATTAATGGTCCTTTTGACTTTGTTATAACTGTAGTTTACTGTATATTACTCCTACAAAGAGCAAGAGAGAAAGAGTGAATCAAACTACATTTGACATATTAATGTTGGTATTCTTTCAACTTTCATTGATAATAATAACGATGTACAGCTTTCATTCTGTGTACTTCAAATAGAGCTAAACACAATAAAAGTGCCAACTGGCGCCTCCTAATATTTTGAAATAACTTGGAGACCTGGACTAGATCAATTATTTCTCAACATCATACATCAAGCAAAGCTGTTGTATTGATTTGTAGAAACAATACATTTGTATACATACCCTAGGAAGCCATGTTATCTGATGAAAGAATTCTCAAATACCGGTGCCATTCTCTGACAGTGTGCTTAAGAAATCTAGATCCATTTGTTACAAAACAGAAGATTTGTTTTTCAAACCAAAACCACACAATTGATAAACAGTCAATAGGAAACAAAGATTGTTCCAAGCCTGTCAACATAACTGTTCAGCTTCTTATTATCCCTCTATCTGTTCAGGACCATCTATCTGTTCAGGACCATCAATCTGTTCACCCCATCTATCTGTTCAGGACCATCTATCTGTTCACCCCATCTATCTGTTCAGGACCATCAAATCTGTTCACCCCATCTATCTGTTCAGGACCATCTATCTGTTCACCCCATCTATCTGTTCAGGACCATCTATCTGTTCAGGACCATGTATCTGTTCACCCCATCTATCTGTTCAGGACCATCTATCTGTTCACCCCATCTATCTGTTCAGGACCATGTATATGTTCACCCCATCTATCTGTTCACCCCATCTATCTGTTCACTCCATCTATCTGTTCAGGACCATGTATATGTTCACCCCATCTATCTGTTCACCCCATCTATCTGTTCAGGACCATGTATATGTTCACCCCATCTATCTGTTCACCCCATCTATCTGTTCAGGACCATGTATATGTTCACCCCATCTATCTGTTCAGGACCATCTATCTGTTCACCCCATCTATCTGTTCACCCCATCTATCTGTTCAGGACCATCTATCTGTTCACCCCATCTATCTGTTCAGGACCATCTATCTGTTCACCCCATCTATCTGTTCACCCCATCTATCTGTTCAGGACCATCTATCTGTTCAGGACCATGTATATGTTCACCCCATCTATCTGTTCACCCCATCTATCTGTTCAGGACCATCTATATGTTCACCCCATCTATCTGTTCAGGACCATCTATATGTTCACCCCATCTATCTGTTCAGGACCATCTATCTGTTCAGGACCATGTATCTGTTCACCCCATCTATCTGTTCAAGCCCATCTATCTGTTCACCCCATCTATCTGTTCAGGACCATCTATCTGTTCACCCAATCTATCAGTTCGGGACCATCTATATGTTCACCCCATCTATCAGTTCAGGACCATCTATCTGTTCACCCAATCTATCAGTTCGGGACCACCTATATGTTCACCCCATCTATCTGTTCACCCCATCTCTGTTCACCATATCTATCTGTTCACCATAGATAGATAGATAGATAGATAGATAATATTTATTGCAGAAACGTTCCATTATGTTACGGATGCAATTTTAAAAGACAAGACATTATGATTCATATATACATATATACAGACATAAATAATTTACATTCCTGTAGACACATACAAAATCAAAACAATCAATATTACATATTTGATGATATTATTATACATAAAATGTCAAAGGTTGATTATGAAGGGGTATTTATTATTTGAAATGATAGATTTTGAAACAAATGCAGTTGATATTGACTGCTTCATTATTTGACAGGATGTAGTGAAATAATTTGTCTTCATGACTGTGGACATTTACATTTACATTTTGTCTGGATAATTTTCCAAAGAGAATATTTCTTTCTTGAGTGTGTTTAATACAGTGAAGTAAGTAGTGTTTTTTGTCATCAATGGTTGAACATGTAGAGCATAGCCTCTGATGTAGTGGGGTTGGTGGCTTTGTATATCTTCCAAATTCAATATTTAATTTATGGTTACTTAATCTTAGTTTGGAAAAGTGCACTCGATATTTTCTTACTTTACAGTGACTGATATCTATCAGCCCCTCTACCTGTGCCCCCTGTAGCCTCTCTATGTCTACATGCTGGACACTTCTATCTGTTCACCCCATCTCTGTTCAGGACCCTTCTATCTGTTCACCCCATTTCTGTTCACCATATCTATCAGCCCCTCTACCTGTACTGCATCCTGTAGCCTCTCTATTTCTACATGCTGGACCCTCCTATCTGTTCACCCCATCTCTCTGTTCAGGACCATGTATATGTTCACCCCATCTATCTGTTCACCATATCTATCTCTTCACCATATCTATCAGCCCCTCTACCTGTTCTGCCCCCTGTAGCCTCTCTATTTCTGGGGCGGTCGGGTAGCCTAGTGGTTAAAGCGTTCGCTCGTCACGCCGAAGACCTGGGTACAATGTGTGAAGCCCATTTCTGGTGTCCCCCGCCGTGATATTGCTGGAATATTGCTAAAAGCGGCGGAAAACCATACTCACTCACTCACTCTCTATTTCTACATGCTGGACCCTTCTATCTGTTCACCCCACCAATTAGACTAACATTTAGTCTCTGAAATCTTATATTACACAATATCCTTCTTGACTCTAAAAAAAATAAAAATTCCCTATACTGATTTAGGAATAGAGCTAGCTTGAGCTTGCTAGACTAGCTTTTGTATGCATTTCTAGATTATTTTTTTTTCATAAAATAAATATATTCCACAGTCATGGACTACCCACCGATATGCAACATCTCTCTCAGTCTGACTCCCAGACCCTGGAGTATATATTTAAAAAGGAGTCCAACTCAAATCTAGAAAGATTTGGCAAGACCTGACATTAAGCATTGTCCTGGCCTCCATTTGAATTTTACTTTTTTTTATAGAAAATATGTTTATTTGAGATAGCTTTATTTCTGGGACTAAATGTTCATCTACGTCTCTCTGTACGGGCCATTTTCCCTCTGCAACTCGAGCCCCTTCTATCCCTTCCTTCCAGTTGTACTATTTAAGCCCCTCTATTTGTACAGCCCCTCCGTGTTCATCCCCCTTCTAACCTGTCACTCAGGCATGTTCCTCCGGCAACCCAGCCATCCCAACATAACTGGCCAGATCGGCTAATCATCTTAAACGGTTCAGCAACAGTTGAATTATCTAATCAGGAATTCCTCTGTGATTCCTGTCTGCTACTGGGTCATGCAGACTGCCACATGTTGGTTGGGCCACATTAAAGCGTGAACTGCTAACAACCAATTGACCAATAGGCAGAGTGTGTGACTAACGGCCTATTGACCAAGCTTGTCATGAGAAGCTCTCTTTACTTGCAATAATATCAGCGCCAGCAGTTAAATAATCCTGACATGAAACTCTTTATGAGTCCCTTAGAAAGTTGACACATTATGGTGATTAAAACACAACCATTCTCAACCCCCAAGGCTGTCATGTCCTGGCCAGCATAACACAGACTCTGAAGACCTTTGAGACGTTTCTTGTCATGTCAAGTCTCAGTTTCATACAGCATTGATTTTGTTGATGGCTCTGAAAGTATTGATGCCAATGTAATATGGTCGAGGCTGGCCATTCCTAGACATCTGTTCGCCTCAAGTAATGTTAACTCACTCCTGGGTGAGTTTTTAATTTCACTGTTCCTATAAATACCAGAGGGATCCTGGTTATTCCAGTTGGACACTGTTACCCCTGACATTCAGAGTCCAATCCAGAACAGAGTAAATGAGTGAGTATGGTTTTCCGCCGCTTTTAGCACTATTCCAGCAATATCACGGCTGGGGACACCAGAAATGGGCTTCACACATTGTACCCATGTCGGGAATCGAACCCGGGTCTTTGGCGTGATGAGCAAACCCTTTAACCACTAGGCTACCCGACCGCCTCCAGTCCAGAACCGAAGACACAGACATGTTACATTGTACATACAAAAGTTGTAACCCATAATACCATTTCACTTTCCTCCTGACTTTTAGTAGTTCATTCATATAATTTTCACAGCTATTTTGCCCTTTATGCCAAATGGAATCTGTTTCGGCAGATCTAGACTGGCTATTCTCTTGCATTGATTATTTATATTATAAATAGTCATGTTGAATTAATACTTTGTACTCTGCCTCCTGACTATTGCTTCAGTCTCTGAAAATATATTATTTTGATAAAACAAATAGCTCCATCTCAATTGAAAAGGAGCCCCAGTGAGATTGAAGATTGAACCTGTGGAAATTCTAGACTTGCTTCATTTTAGGACTATAGCATTACAGTAAGGGCTGAAGGTTGAAGGGAAAATAACATGGTTCAGGGGTTGTGAGACAGACTACCTGCGCCCTGTGGGTGTTCCTGTACAGTAAAGTCTTCTTCTTCACCTTGTTCATCTTTCTTCACGAGGGCACGGGTGGCCCAGTCGCCGCGATTCGCTGTGCAGAGTTGCCTCCCTTCGGACACGCCAGAAACCTATGATTGTGGGTTCATATCCCGATTCGCCCCGATTATGTTTCTAGGTTTGTCAGCACCATACCCATGCTCGTGGGTTTCACCAAAGTCTGAGACCTGCATCACTTCGGGCTTTCCTCCCACATTAAGCTGACACGCCGTGATGTAACTGTAATACTGTTAAAAGCGGTGTTAAACCCAACTCACTCACTCTTTCTTCACCTTATTCTTCTTCGAGACAAGATCATCACAGGCACCCATACTAAAACCTGAGATGCCAACTAGCGCTGGAACGAGTCCAACTTTACTACCGGGTACCCATCCCCCTATCACCCGACCCTACCAGGTACCCGCTGTAGATCTCAGGAGATGTCTCAAAATGTCCGATTGGGAAATTTTTTTAGCATAGTCCTGGCAAAACGTATTTAGATACATGTATAAACAATCTGGTCATTCATACACTGAAGTTGAATTAAGTTATATCTTTATTCAACCATATGAAAAGTCAGAAGGAATGGGTGCACAGTCAGAAAGAAATGCGAACATTAGTGACTTCTAGTGTAACCATAGAGTTCTAGATAATTTTTGTCATTAAACAATATATCACGTGACTAACCACGGGTCAAGGTAGTCCTGTGGGTACCCGGGTCCTACTCAGTACCCACCTGACCCTAGTACCCGAGTTATTCGTCCCAGCCCTAATGGCAACCGTAATGATTTTTGCAGAATCAATACAAGATTTAAACCAAATTCTGCCAATTAAATTAAGTGAAATATGAATGAATTTTGTCCAAAGACCAATCAACTCTTATTAAAACTAGACATTAATTCCAGACATTGTCGCACATACAACCAATTACAGAACAATCGTCACTGTTTTCGTAGTTATTGGAAAGGTTTAAAAAGTCTGACAAGTATGAGTAATAATGCAAAAGAAGATATATTTTCATCAAGAAATCAGACATGCTAACTATGATTACTGTTTTTGTTTGTTTTAAAGAAGTAACTTTAACAATTACCCTAATATTCCTCATTACCTCAAATTAAGTTTGGCATTTCTACTAAAACCCTACTGAGGCGAACACAGACGTGCACAGAATGTTACCGGAACTTTCATTCCTTTCCTTTCCATTCCCATTAGTTTATTCTCATTTAATTGTTCATGTTGCCATAATTCCTCCGTAAAACATCAACCATGAAGCATTGTACAACACAGCACTTCCAAAGTCCCACAACCAAAAAATGCAATAAATTTAATGCTTATTATTCAAAGAAACTAGTTTATTTAAGCCAATAATAATTTGTCTTTGAAGACTTGGTCCAATAATCCTGATTAACAGGCACTATTGCTTCTTGCAACCAATCTGCCAAGCAATCTGGGTCTCTTTGTTAAACCCTGAATGTTGTTGTTGTTGTTTGTTTGTTATTTAACGCCACACTCAGCAATATTCCAGCTATATGACGTCGGTCTGTAAAATAATCGAGTCTGGACCAGACAATCCAGTGATTGACATCATGAGCATCGATCCACGCAATTGGGATCGATGACATGTATCAATCAAGTCAGCGAGTCTGACCACCCAATCGGGTTAGTCGCCTTTTACGACAAGCATAGTCGCCTTTTACGGCAAGTATGGGTTGCTGAAGACCTAATCCAACCGGGAATCTTCACGGGTCAAACCCTGAATGTATTACATTGACCTGAGGTTTTTTTTATTCCTTGATAAAAAATCTATATGACCTGGCTCATTGTCTTTGCAGACATGCATCACACTAGCTTCACTGTATATAACATAGTTCACGCCATATAAACATACATGTCACACTTCATGCAGAAATGCTCAAGATACAGTGACAACAAACATAATTTTTTCTGTAGGTTTGTCAACATATGAAAAAACAATTAATGGTCATGAGTGATGGAAAATGGATTTGGCATCGATGCCGGTTCAAGAATGCCCATGATATATGATAATACATATAGTTGATCAAAAGAAGGGCAAAGTCAGTTTTTAGCAAGAAGGTGGTGTAAACTGAGTTGGGCCTTGACTGTAACCTTGACTTCTTCCAGGAGTGAACCTATGACAGGTGTTAAATGAGATTCATTATTCATCGCGACAGTTAAACTACCGCCACTCACAATGAATTATATATTTCATAGGCTTGCACCATGTTACATCATCACCGCCTTCAAAGTGTCCTTGACCGATGATCGAAGCCGGTACAAGATGAAAGTACTGTGTTTGAGTGTTGAGTTCTGATGCTACTTTGATAGTGCTAAACTGAATTTGGAACTGAACCAGGGCGGTCGGGTAGCCTAGTGGTTAAAGCGTTCGCTCGTCACGCCGAAGACCCGGGTTCGATTACCGGCATGGGTACAATGTGTGAAGCCCATTAATGGTGTCCCCCGCCGTGATATTGCTGGAATATTGCTAAAAGCAGCGGAAAACCATACTCACTCACTCACTCTGTTCTGGATTGGACTCTGAATGTCAGGGGTAACAGTGTCCAACTGGAATAACCAGGATCCCTCTGGTATTTAAAGGAACAGTGAGATTAAAAACTCACCCATACAGCATCAGTTTCTTCAGGGGCGGTCGGGTAGCCGAAGACCCGGGTTCGATTACCGACATGGGTACAATGTGTGAAGCCCATTAATGGTCTCCCCTGCCGTGATATTGCTGGAATATTGCTAAAAGCGGCGTAAAACCTCACTCACTCACTCACTCACTTGCTGGAACTGAACCATGAGGTTTCAAATTTTTAACCTATCATAGGATACATTATGGGGATGTTGAATCAGCTGTTTCAATCAAAGGTGGTTATTGTGATTTGAAACCTCTGAATGAAGAAATTGATTCTGTCTCGTCAAAATCATGGTAGAATTGAGCTTAACACATTTTTCAACAAAGGGAGAATTCTCTATGGAAGAAAAGCCTGAATTGATGTAGGTCAAAGATATTGACCACTCCGGTGACACCCATAAGCATGGGAATGGTGCTGACAATCCAAGTATTAAAATCAGGATAAATCTGGGATTCAATCCCATGTACAATCATAGGATTCTAACATGCTGAGGGGATGAACATTGTGTCCATTGTAGAGCTATGGAGACTGGGCACCCATGCCTCAAGAAGTTAGTTTGTTTATTTATTTGTTGTTAAATGCCGCACTCAGCAATATGCTAACAGCAGATCAGACAAGGTAAAGCTATACCGGTACTAACCAGGCCATAAATATTGGGATCAGGCATAAAGTTATACCTATGATATGACAATAGGTGCACAGTATCCCCACCACCAAGGTGCAACAGTGCACGGCATCCGCACCACCGAGGTGCAACAGTGCACAGCATCCACATCACCGAGGTGCAACAGTGCATGGCATCCACACCACCGAGTTGCAACAGTGCACGGCATCCACACCACCGAGGTGCAACAGTGCACGGCATCCACCCCACCGAAGTGCAACAGTGCACGGCATCCACATCACCGAGGTGCAACAGTGCACAGCATCCACATCACCGAGGTGCAACAGTGCATGGCATCCACACCACCGAGTTGCAACAGTGCACGGCATCCACACCACCGAGGTGCAACAGTGCACGGCATCCACCCCACCGAAGTGCAACAGTGCACGGCATCCACATCACCGAGGTGCAACAGTGCACGGCATCCACACCACTGAGGTGCAACAGTGCACGGTATCCCAACCACCAAGGTGCAACAGTGCACGGCATCCCCACCACCGAGGTGCAACAGTGCACGGCATCCACATCACCGAGGTGCAACAGTGCACGGTATCCCCACCACCAAGGTGCAACAGTGCTCGGCATCCCTACCACCGAAGTGCAACAGTACACAGCATCCGCACCACCGAGGTGCAACAGTGCACGGCATCCCCACCACCGAGGTGCAACAGTGCACGGCATCCACACCACCGAGGTGCAACAGTGCACGGCATCCACACCACTGAGGTGCAACAGTGCACGGTATCCCAACCACCAAGGTGCAACAGTGCACGGCATCCCCACCACCGAGGTGCAACAGTGCACGGCATCCACACCACAGAGGTGCAACAGTGCACGGCATCCACACCACCGAGGTGCAACAGTGCACGGCATCCACACCACCGAGGTGCAACAGTGAACAGCATCCGCACCACCGAGGTGCAACAGTGCACGGCATCCCCACCACCGAAGTGCAACAGTTAGCAAGTCCAAATTTACTACCCGGGTACCCACCTCCCTATTACCTGACCCTACCCGGGTCCCCGTTGTAGATATTTAGAGATACATGTAGGTACAAACTGTACGATTTGGAAAAGTTTGACTGTAGCCCTGGCAAAATGTATTTAGATATACGTGTAAAACAATCTGGTCATGCATACCCTGAAGTTTACTGCATTAAGTTTCATCTTTATTCAGACATATAAAAGTCAGAAGGAATGGGTGCATTGTCAGATAGAAATGGGAACATTAGTGACTTAACGTGTAACCACAGAGTTTTAGATAATTTTTGTCATTAAACAATATGTCACTTGACTAACCACGGATCCGGGTAGTCCTGTGGGTACCCTGGTCCTACTCAGGACCCACCTGACCCGAGTCCCCGAGTTACACGTCCCAGCCCTAACCTCAGTGCACGGCATCCCCACCCCAGTCAACAGATCGGTTAACTTTTAGATTGTACTCTCATATCACAAGAAATATTCACTCACTCCTAAGGAACCATCATGTATACAGTCCTTGATAGACTTTAGAAGTTGGGAGAACTTCGTCAAAATTGTTACCTTTGTACATTAATCTTATGGCCTTGGCTTTGTTATTATATTATTATCTTTGTACATTCATCCCACCATGTGTTGTGTAAACATATCAGGACTTATATATATTAACACTATGCACTTCTGAAGCATTCACCTGATGAAGGAGCAGGAAGTA